ATTCACCAAAAAGAACAAGTTAAAAACTTGATGAATGAGTATCATCAAATCTTTTCGGATGTTCCAAAGAAAACTAATGCAGCTTGTCATGATGTCATAGTGAGTGACGTTCTGCCTATCAAACAACATCCGTACCGTCTGAATCCAATAAAATTGCAGTACCTAAGAAGGGAAGTGCAGTACATGTTGGACAATGACATTGTTGAACCTAGTAAAAGTGATTGGAGCTCACCGTGTATTCTTGTACCAAAACAGGACGGTTCGTACCGATTATGTACAGACTTTAGAAAGGTGAATTCTGTTACCAAAACTGATTCATATCCAATACCTAGAATCGATGACTGTATTGACAACATTGGAAATGCGAAATTTGTCAGTAAATTTGACCTGTTGAAAGGCTACTGGCAAGTACCGTTAACAGAAAGAGCAAAAGAAATATCTGCTTTTGCTACACCAGATGGACTTTACCAGTATAAAGTAATGCCTTTTGGCATGAAAAACGCACCGGCTACATTCCAAAGGATGATTCACTCCCTTCTTCAAGACCTTGAGGGATGCGAGGCCTACATTGATGATATCGTCATATACAGCAACACATGGGACGAACATCTCCGAATCATGCGTGCTTTATTTGACATTTTAGCTAAAGCAAACTTAACTGTGAATCTTGAGAAGAGCGAATTTTGTCATGCTTATGTAGAGTATTTAGGTCATAAAGTAGGTCAAGGTTATGTTACACCCATAATGGCTAAAGTGGAAGCTATTGCAAAGTTCCCGATTCCTACAAACAAGAAAGAATTAATGAGGTTTTTGGGCATGGCTGGGTTTTACAGAAAATTTTGTCCAAATTTTTCCTCAGTAGTTAGTCCACTTACAAATCTTTTACAAAAGAGGGTTAACTTTGAATGGACAAAGGACTGTGAAAAATCCTTTCATAAAATCAAATCTGTCCTTATGAGCAATCCAGTTCTGTCGACTCCAGATTTTTCTACGCAATTTAAGTTAACTGTTGATGCTAGTGATGTTGGAATCGGGGCAGCTTTGTTTCAAGAACATAGTGATAAGGTAGATAGAGTTGTTTCTTATTTTTCAAAGAAACTGACAAAATGTCAACGAAATTATTCTACCATTGAAAAAGAATGCCTTGCTTTATTGTTAGCTTTACAGCATTTTGATGTTTATTTGAATGTTACTTTGTATCCAATTCTTGTATATGCTGATCACAACCCACTGACATTTTTGCATAAATTGTCAAACAAGAATCAAAGACTGACTAGATGGAGTTTGTTGTTACAAGAATACAACATAACAATTAAGCATATCAAAGGCAAAGACAATGTTATTGCAGATGCCTTGTCAAGAATATCGTAAACATACTAGATTTTGTATTAATGTACATGTTTTACAATTTAAGTTTTTCATTGACATTCAAACTTTTAAGGGGGGAGGTGTTGTGAGGTGTGTTGTATTTTTACTGTTTTATCATGTATATTATTAGTAACATTAAGTTTCTTGAACATTCCAGAGTGGTCAACATGTTCGGTCATTTTTTCTAGAACATTCTTGAACTTTGTGTATGTCCAGAACTTTCCAGTAATATCATGTATTTACAACTTCTGGAATTTTCTAGATTTATAGTACTGTATAAATACCCTGTCAATTCGATGCATAAACAATAATTGTCGTATAAGTAACATTGATGTACAGGTGTATAAAGAGACTGGGATATAATTACACTGGACATTGTGTGCAGCAACGGACACTCTGATGTATGTATTTTTAGACTCTTGCTAAGTTTGTACTTTATGATTTGTATATATTAATGTTAATAAATTATTGTTAAGTTTAGATTGTGTGATTGATCTTTGCTGGCATTTAGGGTAATTCTGACCCATAACACTTATTCTGATTACACTGTTGATTTAGCAATGTTAAATAATATCTTTGCTCAACTCCACTGCAATGTTAAACGTTTTCGAGTAGACATCTTGACAGTATTGCCTTCTTTTCCTTGTTAACATCGTTCACATCGTTTACATCACAACGATGAACGATATCGAGTGGACATCGTATCAACATTACCTTTTGTTTTCTTGTAAACACCGTTCACCTCGTCAACATTGCAATGTAGGACGAGATCGAGTCGACATCATTTCAACGTTGAACCTTTTTTTGTGTGTACATCGTCCATATCGTCAATATCGGAACAATGGAAAATGTTGATTAAGTTTCAAATTAATATTGTTTACACTGCGATGTCGACGATGTAGACATGGAAATTATAACACTGTAGACGAGGTACGCTTGATATCAAATCAACATTGTTTACTATGCTATGTCGACGTTCTTCGATGACGACATACAATGCATAAATAACTACAATGTAGACAATGTAAACTCGATATTGCATTAACATTGTAAAAGTTGCAATATCGACGATGTCATCATAATAAATGAAAACAATGAAGACTATATAATCCCAATATTGTATCAATATTTTCGAAATTGCAAAGTTGACAATGTCAATATAGAAATAGTAACAATGTACATGTAGATGGTGTAAGCACAATATCGTATTAACATTGTCTACATTGCGATGACAACATAATAGAACTGACAACGTGAATTGGACAATTGATTAGGCCGAGTACAAACGTTTTGATATCACGGATGCCAGCTAATTCAGTAAACGTGTAACGTGGAATGATTTCCAAAAAATAAGATACTATGAAATCACTAATTTTCGCGGGGGAAGGGGGGTTAATTTTCGTGGTTTTCAAGGTGTTAAAATCGAGGCCCACGAATTTATGTCTACAACGAAATGCAATTTTTCATTTATATTACGATTGAACAATTCTCAAGCCACGAAATCAAATCCTCATGAAACAATTTATTTCCTTAAAACCACAAAAATTTTACCTATCGAAAATATGTGATTTTACAGTAAAAGAAAGTATTGACTATTGTTAAATGATAAGATTGAATATTATTATTTTCTAGTTTATTTATTTCATGCAAAGAGGAAACTATAGACATTCTCAGATTGAACGCATGAACAGCTAGTATTGATATTCATTGTAACGGGAATCCTTTCCATAAGTTTCCACTTCTCTTCCTGGTCCAACTCTTCACAATTTACATTAAAGAACAAGTTATGGTTTCAATACAAATTTGGCCCTGTATTTTTATAAAATATGGAAGCGATGTAAGAAATTAAAATGAAAATACATTCTTTCTGAATTACTGAAATTCCATTGAGTAAAAATCTGCATATCGTTTTATTTATATGACTTCCTTAATGATGATTGTAACGTAATGAACATGTGCATTTTCCGGTGTTTTCCTAAAATGTTGCAGAAGACATCAATTTTTAGTGAAATTCTTTTACAGAATACATACAGCACATGTATCGCCCACAAAGATTTTTATATATGTGATTTTTAAATGGATTTCACACAATATAATTATCTAAAATTTTAGTGGGCACTACTTTCTAAAGGAAAACAACCACAGAAATGAGTCGTTTTAAGGCATTTCTGCATAAAACTTTTTTTTAAATGCATCATATTAATGACGCCATATTTCCAGAATGGTCAAACCTCATGCCATATTCTCTCATGATTTATTATATTCATCTTTTCATCTCATATGATGATAAGCATTTGATTCCAAGAAAAAAAAGGCAATTTAGAACATGCAAATGTTTAATAAATCTTATTGCAGCACACATAAACTCGCATTTGATATATTGTATTATATATATTTATCAAACTGTATGATTATGTCTTAGAATTCACTATATAATTGTTTTGACTATGTTTTTAAACTCAAAATATTGTCTTTTTATTCAAAATATATCATAAAAAACAAATATACATAAGAAACATATGAAAATTTAAAAAAAGACTTTGAAAGATTCCCTTCTTATTAGGGTCTTCCGCTGTTATTCTACTGTTTCTTATTATTATTTTATTTTTTTTTTCCCGCTCGATTTTTGACAGGCGATTTCTCAAAGACCTTTGGACTGATTTTTATGAAACTTTCAGGTTAGATACCTTGTAATTAAACCTATTTACACCTGTTTTCAATTTTTTGATGCATGCCTTTAATTGTGAGTTATTGCCCTTTAATTGATAATTTTGATGTCTCGTTTCCACTAAAAATCTCAAGAACGACGTAGGATATTTACACGCAAGTTGGAGAACTTGTAGCCAATACATTGTAGATGTGCAGAACGATAAAATTATAAGCTGATTTTCTAAAGTTTGGAAGCTATAAAACGGCAAATTTTAGTAATTTTTTTTCTTGAATTTTTGCTACTTTTTGTGTAATAACTTTTGAACCGAGAATAATTTGGTAAGAAATATATAACAAAAGTTGTGTGTAATTACGAGAGCTTTCATATTAGATTAATGAAAAGGGGCTGGCCCCTATAATTAGGGGTTAATAGCTCATACACGTTTTTTCTGATAGCTAAAAATATTGGTATATTATGAAAAAGTTTGACTGAAATAATTTCGAACTTATAAAATCTTGTCATTTGATATAAAAAGAAATAAACTTCCAGCTATATTTAATTGTTTTTTATATAAAACAAGTACATGTATGTGAGAAACCTTTCAGGAACAAGTTGTCTACTATAGCCAGCCAAGCCTTTACTGCATACATGTGCACATTTTTAGTTGATGCATCTAAAAGATATAGTTTTGATTCGGTGTTTCTTTTTTTTCTTTTTATTCAAATAATTTTAAAATGTGATGATGTACACAAGAATAAATAGTACCTAGTTTAGAGGATTTTTTCGCGCTTGTTTGTAAACAACGCGCGGCATTGTGGGAAATAGGAAGGTACTAAAGACGCGATGTACTAAACACTTATTTGACCTGATTCAAATTTGTCTGTAAATGTTCCAAACAATTGAATTTTTGTATAGCATATGCCTCGAAGTCATAAAGTCTGTACATAAGTAATTTAAAATACTCAATATTACCATTTAATTAAAAATTAAAACGTCAGGTAAATATCAGGTCTCTAGTATATCCCGTTTTTAGTGTGCCCCTTCGAGTCGACGTCGGACACATGTTTGTCATGGTTTACAAACTGAAAATAGAATGATTTGTGAAGTTGAACATTTTCTCACAAAGAATCCGCTTGTAGACATGCACACTCATTTAATCTGGAGCTACGAAGTACTTTGTCACTTCTCTGGAACATTATTCTAAGCAGAATTATCCCGATTCATATATTCTAAGAATCTTGTGTGAATTGTTTACGAGGAAATTCTGACTGTCACATTAACAAGGATGAACACTCTTGACTCTGCTTCGGATTCCCCAGTGATAATTGTATCGAGTGATGAAAGAGCTGACGGCGACATTTTAATGTATGATTGGCTTGGACCATTGGAATGAAGGTTAGAATATTTTTATTACTTAAAATTTACACTACTGATTACATGACAGTGACGTACATTGATGTTATTAGAAATACACAGACACACCGATATATTATCTGTTTTACAGTTCAGACGCTCTCTGTTTGCCTTGTAAATCCCCACAGCTTTATATTTTATTTTTATTAAATTTGAGGATGTAATTTCAACAGTCCTACTATCTATCATAGTGATCATACTCTATAATTCAAACTGCACTTAATGTTACAGAATATATTCAACTAATTATATATTGACAGTGTGACTGTAAGGGTGAGGGCAGATACTTATTTAGTTTTAATTTAGATTGTGCTTGTCAAGCCGCATTTGACATTTGGTGCATCCATGCTCAATGTTCACACTGAGAGTTTATTCAAATGTTTAATTCGAATGAATTCACTGCTCGTTAAATTACTTCCCATTAGCTCCATGTGAACATGAGTAAGGATATCTAATTCAAATTAAATAGAAATGAATTTTGAATGTAGCTTAAACATGTTAAAGAAGCTAAGCACTGTGTGTCCAAAGTATACTGCGGAAAAATTGTGTGGAGCAATGTGCAAGTCACAATCTTCTTTTGCCAAGGTGTTATCATAAGAGCTCGCATTATGGGCAGGGATTTGTGCTGCTGTCTGGACTCGCTATAAATAGATGTTCTCAAAAAGTCTTAATTATTTAATATCATACTTTACTGACAAAAAAAGAACAAATATTGCTCAGTTAAATTGCAAAAGAAATTTGTTTAAAAAAATTGAAATAATAGAAAGTTTGCATTTTTGTTTGATAAGACTGCTGTAATGGTTTAATGTTTGTTTATTTGCCTTAATCATACATTTTTCAGTCATTTCATGGTGCCACCACTTGGGATGGTATTAGCTGCAAATATAGACTTGTACTCAGCACTTATTGCCTTTAAGAAGTATGAGATCCATTTTGTGCTAACACCTACCGTGACACAGAATCTTGGTTTATGAAGTCTCATAGGAGTAACCTGTCTAAAGCATTTAGCAATGGGATTGGAACCTGCAACGTAAGGTTCAGCTTCTTATTGATACTTTGATTTATAATATTTATTTGAGAATTTCACTCATTCACATACTTAGAGATGTTGATATATATTGTTGAATAGCATCAATTTAGACCTTTAATTAGCTAAGTAAACATGTACTGTGAGGTTTTTAAGGTCTCATTCATTTTATATGCCAGATGCATGTTAAGGAACATTACTGCATAAATGTTTTTGTCTTAAATTTGAGGCTTTTTACTAATATAGAGATATGTTAGTTTTAAACCTCTTCAAATTAGGGTAGACCTTTACTTTAAACTCAGCAATGTGAGTGTGTTGTGTGAACTTGTGTTAGCGAGACAGTGTGTTGTATGAATTTGTGTTAGCAAGGCAGTGTGTTTTGTGAACTTAATTGTGTTAGCCTGACAGTGGGTTGTGTGAATTCTTGTTAGCTTGACAATGTGTTGCGTAAACTCGTGTTAGCGGGACAGCGTGTTGTGTAAAATCGTGTATAAAGTGTAAGTGTGACAGTGTGTTGTGTAAACTCGTGTTAGCTAGACAGAGTGTTGATTGAACTCGTATTAGCGAGACTTCGTGTTGTGTAAACTGGTGTTAGTGAGACTGCGTGTTGTGTAAACTCGTGTTAGCGAGACTGCGTGTTGTGTAAACTCATGTTAGCGAGACCGCGTGTTGTGTGTATTCTTATTAGCGAGACAGCATGTTGTGTGAATTCGTGTTAGCGTGACAGTGTGTTGTGTGAACTTGTTATCCTGAAAATTTGTCGTGTGAACTGGTGTTAGAGAGATAGTGTGTTGTGTGAACTCGTGTTAGCAAGATTGGATATTGTGTGAACTCGTGTTAGCCAGACTGCGTGTTATGTGAACTCGTGTTAGCGATATTGCATGTTTTTTGAATTTGTGTTAGCGTGACAGTGTGTTGTGTGAACTCGTGTTAGCCTGACAGTGTGTTGTGTGAAATGGTATTAGGATGACAGTGTGTTGTGTGAAATGGTATTAGGATGACAGTGTGTTATCGCAACAGCGTTTGGTGCGAACTTGTGTTAGTGAATAGTGAGACAGCCTGTTTTGAGAATTCGTGTTAGCGTGACAGTGTGTTGTGTGAACTCGTGTTAGCCTGACAGTGTGTTGTGTGAAATGGTATTAGAATGACAGTGTGTTGTGTGAAATGGTATTAGGATGACAGTGTGTTATCGCAACAGCATTTGGTGCGAACTTGTGTTAGTGAATAGTGAGACAGCCTGTTTTGTGAATTTGTGTTAGCGTGACAGTGTATTGTGTAAACTCGTGTTAGCATGACAGTGTATTGTGTAAACGCGTGTTAGTGAGACTGCGTGTTGTGTAAACTCATGTTAGCGTTACAGTGTGTTGTGTGAATTCATCTAAGCGTGACAGTGTGTTGCGTGTACTTTTGTTAGCTAGACAGTGTGTTGTATGAACTCGTATTAGCGAGACTGCGTGTTGTGTAAAACTTGTGTTAGCGAGACAGCGTGTTGTGTGAACTTGTGTTAGCGAGACAGCGTGTTTGTGAATTCGTGTTAGCATGATAGTGTGTTGTGTGAACTCGTGTTAGCCTGATATTTTGTTGTGTGAAATTGTATTAGCGTGACAGTGTGTTGTGTGTTAGTGTGACAGCGTGTGGTGCGAACTTGTGTTAGTGCGAAAGTGTTTTTCAGTGTTGTGATGGCGAGCTGTGTGATAGCCTAATGGCGTCTTTTGTGTCGGTAAGATGGCACGCTTTTATGAAAGTGCTATTGAGCTTTAGCAAGTGGCCCTATCTGGACATGCCTTATTATAATTGATCAGTTCTCAGATATACAGTGAATTACCGGTATTATTGTCACCATGAAATCAGCATTTACAGTTGCAATTACCTAGTTAGTAATCATAAGATATTGGTTTGTCAGTTTTAAAATTATGGTGTTCCAATGATGTGAAGTTGCAGTGTGTTAGCATGTTAATTTCAACAGACTGCCACTCCAATGCAGCTTTAAACAACACGCTGCTGTGTTAACACAAAACAAAATATCATGCAAACACAACTTTAAACAATCTGTTGAGTGTTAGCTTCACTGCATGTTGGATTCAGTGTGCTGGCATATTATCACTGACGTACATGCTAGCACATTGTCACATCGTGCTAGTATGTTGTCATAAATACTCTAGCACATTATCCTAAACCCACTAGTGCATGATTACTTTGCACTTGTATGTTGTCTTATTAGGGAATAGCATAAATGACTGCCTTAATTGGTGTAAACTTCTTTTAATTGATGAAAGAGTACATTAAAATTTACAAATTATACACAGAAAATGTGACAATATCTTATCTCTCAATTTGATAATCTAATTTATAATCTCATGAATTGCACTTTTTATTAGTAAAAGAATTATAGATTAAAAAATTTCAATTTCTTTTGGATAGGTGTGACTCATCTGAAGACTGAATTTTGATACCAAGCATGACCATGATTTGCCAGAAGATCATCTGTTTGGATGTGACATGGAATAAACAGCATAGTGAAAATAAGTCAAGTTTTGGTTTGTGAAGACAATTTTTAAACACACTGTGTATCATTTTTAAATTTTGATTTGACAACATAAATCCACAAATATGAACATATCAATTGCTCTCAGTTTTTCAAGTGAAATAGTTTTTGTAACAGAAATACATGTACCAGTAATTACATTGGAATAAATGTTATTTTTAAATATAATAATATTTTGTTTGTGTAGCATGTTGACCTCTTTATTAAGGACTTCCCTTTCAAAGTTTAGACTTACTTATTCTAATGATTAAGATAGATCCTCTGTCTTCAGCAGGATTAGAAGATCTTGTAATACATGTATGTGTATTTTTTACAGTATAATGTAAAAAAAATTGTTATTTTGGCACATACAACTAATTAAAGGCATAAACATGTGTATGATTCCAAGGAATTCAGTACATAGGGCATGTACATGTAGTTTTCTAAAACAAGATTGAAGAGATGTCCAGTCGCATTTCAATGTCAACTGCAAAACTGTGCCTGTTGCATATTTATTAGCCCATCTGAGCTAAAGGAACCAGTAAATTTTTTAAAAACATAATTTTATCCATTATCATCATTGTCTAAAATTTCACAATATCATTTTCCAGAACCAAAGTGAAACTTGGCACAGAGCATCCTTAGTGTAGGGGATTCAAATTGTTCTTATGCAGGGCAATACCTTCAAAGAGATTTGTTTCTTTAATGCTGTAAATGTATAATATTTAGCTTGTACAATATTTGGTGGAAATTGACTTTTGAATAAGTTAGCGTAGATATTCTTATTTATGTTTATGTACAAGACTTTTAGCTTTGTACTTGATTTAGTGATTGCTGCATTCCGCCAAAGCTGCTAAAAAAGAATACACAGCCATATGTAATATGTTTACAATATACCTTTCAGAGAATTTTACACTCCTATTGAGGTACCACCAGTTGCTAGTGGAAAGCTGCAAATTCGAAACATACACAACACATTTCTGTGCGTTTATTATAAAAGTATTGTTCTACTTACTGATTGCAACTAATGAAGATTGTTCATCATTATTGTAAATACATTTGGATTTTTTGAATTATTATATAATTTGTTTATTTTATTTACCTAGTTATATTGTATATTAAATGATTTTAAAGCCATTTTTAAGATGGTAATGTAGCAAAACACTTATGTTTCTGTAGTATGACACGTTTCACAAACATGATATATCCGATATCAAAAGTCATAATATTGGAAGTTAAACTGTTGTGGATACGATTTCAAGAATGCTGTTAGAGAGAGTACCCTTTAGACCTCATGCTCACACCAAATTAAAGAATTCAAGTAAGGGTTTCTGAGACAAATCGAAAAAGAGAATGTTAGCAAAGTTGACAATCTAGACAGAAACATTTAATCTTTTGCTTATCGCTAGGAAGGAAGACCCACTCGTTGCTTTGCAACGAGCTTTGCTCTAGTTGTATTTCTAATTCTCTGGACAGATACAAAATAACTTCTAAAATCAATATTTTCTTTATATGATAATATTTTCATGTACTATATAAAACATACTGAAAGAAAAGGAAACGCATGAGAACATAATATGCGAAAAATGTTTGACTATCTGGCCGAAAATTATAAAGATTGGTCAGATTGGTGTACATTGGTTACTGTGCACTTAAATCGGTGTTCAAAAATACTCAACAATGAAATGAATGACGTCACGTAGGGAAAGTGATAAAAAGCCCAAAGCATGTCCATATATATTGCTGACGATAGTTTCGTGATCACATTTTGTAGTACCAATTGATGCAATGTAGGTTTTGACGTCGTTTTTGCTTATTTGCAGTCAGAATAACTTTCATGCAATCATGGTATGACAGACAGAAGTTTCACTTGCTCAAGTAATTGAATTACGTACATAAGTAAAAAAAGGCAACAACATGTTGCTATGCAGTTTGTTTTGAATTTTTCCACCAAAAATATTTTTCAGTTGTCCGAGACAAAAGGTTTCCAGCCAACCATGATGGTCGCTTGGCGTGTAACAACGTCTCTTCACGTTAGGGTTTTTTATTATGCCGCCTCAATGCAACTTTATGTATACTTCGGTATCTCTCTCACTCACTCAAATAAGCGTCACATCGCATTTTTGCATGTTCACATCGGGAAAATGTAGCAAGTGTTTTTCAAGACTTTCTTACAAATATTCCCTTTCACCAAACCAGCATTTTTTTTAGATTAATGTGGCGGGAGAGTTTGGTGACTCTAGTATGCTACAGCTACATGTACATATACTCTTGATTATTTTAAGGCTACCCAGTCGGAAGGGTAGAATAATATCCCCATGAGAAAGATAAATGCTCTGATGAACTCCATGCACAGAAAAATAAGGATTTTACTGATGCGCAAGAGAGATGATGAGGATTTTCACTTTTCACTTTGAGGGGATCGACATATAGATTTCAATAACTCATGAAATACCAGTCAAATAAGTCAAAAAAATGGTTATTTGTTGATTAAAGATAAATATATATGTTTGTCAACAAAACTGGATAATACATTAAAAATAACATCTTTTGTTTTGGGTGTGTTCGTTGCTGAAATGAAATATGAATAATTCAAAATAAAAGAATATTCATATCTTTATTAATTTTAACCATCCATAAACTATTCAGTTTTTAAACTTTTTTAGCATTTACTAGAAGAAGAAACGTCGAACTTTAAACTTTCTTCAGCAAATTGAATATCGAAGCATACGTTTAAATTTAAAATTTTAATAAAAAACGCTTACGTATATACTTTGCTAAACCTATTATAAATGAAGCAATAACGATTCACGACTCAACTTAATCAACAAATATATACAATTTGAAAAGTTCAAATCGGAAATCCTCAGACAACTTAGGATTATATGGCTGATACATTGACGGTAATTTTTTAAATTCCTTTAAAAATATTTTTTGCAGGCCGTTTTAATATATTTTTTTAAATAGATCAATGTATATGTACGTCAAAAAGTGCATAGGTATTTATATAAATGTGTTTCATTGCACTTCAAATCGCTGAATGGCAATATTTCTCAAATTAATTAATAAAACAGTTTTTTAAATCCTACACAGAACCCTAAGTTATCAAAATTAGGTCCAACGCTTCATAGATCAACTGTTAACGAAAATAACACTCGAAATATCACCACTTATACGAGTCTGGTCTCGGATAAGTGAGCTTATTTCAGTAACCCTATGTCCCTCCTTTCCGGATATCTTAAGTCCTTTCAGATATATAATAATATTATACATTTATTGACTGAGTTCGGGGGGAACATGCGTTTTGTTGGACCCAAGGACCAAACTGTTTGCCTGAGGCCGTTAGGCCGAAGGCAGACAGTTTGATTCGAGGGTCTGACAAAACGCATTTTGCCCAAGAACTCAGTCAATAAATGTTTTGTTATACCTTTCATTTTATTTTATTTTTTTTTTTTTGACATACGTGTATTTTGTACTGTATTCTGCAACATCAGGTATGTCACTGTTTAACACCAACGAACGAAAATGAGATTAAGCTCCGCCCATTCTGTGACGTAAGCGGTCCAACGTCTCTCCGAGCGGTCCAACATCTCACTCAGCGGTCAAAAATCGATTTCTTTCATGCCCGCTCAGCAAAACGTTAAAAATGTTAGACTTTTTTCGTATAGATTGGCATAGGAACAATTTTTTAAAGGTATAACAATCACCCTTAGTCACAACCTATCATTCTGGATAATTTTGGTCCATTTGCATATAGTCTCATATATATAGTTGTTTACCTCCTCTTCCTTCTTGATGAATCGATAAAACGGAAAGGTCATAGAAAATTTTATTAAGTTGAATTGTGGCAATGATTTAATTTTTTGAAATAGATAAGTTTGATTTCAAGGGTAACTATTAAGATTTGTAATTTCAATCCAAATTAGACGCCCCGATGGTGTAATTTTACTTTGGATTTGGCCCAATTGGATTTTTGTTAAGATCAAACGTCAACTGTATTGGTTGAATTTACACAATATGGTATAATCTGAGTTATAGATACAGGAATAATTAAACATATGGAAGTTAAGGGATGTTTTAATGTAAGTAATTATTTTTTAGGAGTAAAACGTAAACAATCCCCGATTCGATGAGAGGGGGGTTTCAAGGCCTTCAAGCGCAGAAATTTAAAATCAGACATACTAATCTTTTCCCAAAAATGTTATGAAGCCTGAAGATAGTACTTACACTTTTAGCCAAAATTTAATAGTCTTCAATTGGCATTGACTATTGAACATTCCCGAGAATTTCGTTACTTTCATTTCTGCAGTAATCAAAGTACTGAATGTACTGATAGGATGATGTTTGTTACTTTCATCATTGTAATGAGTCATTTACATTTACAGTTCGGTATAGTTTCATATGTTTGCTGGTCTATTGAAACATTTCAATAAAAGGCATAAAGGCAAACACTGAGAATATTTCACCAAAAATAAAGGTCTTAGGTTTGTATGAAATGATTTTCTCTCTAACAAAAGGGTGGATGTCTGTAAATTATGATTCTAAACGGTAAACCATGATGAGAACTGTTGTTGTCCACCTGGTCAATAATTAAAGTGAGCATTTTGTCTCAGGGTAAGCTGTCAAAGGCTCAAAGCACAGCAAAGCTGTAGAAATTTGGCTTCATAAACCTTAGAGTAAAACAGCAATAATTAATAATTCATATGCCTTAGACTGGATATGCTGGGTTCAGTCACAAGCAAGGAGAAAATTATATTAGTACAAAGCGTAAGAGTCAGACTAGGGTAAGAAGCTTTCAATACTAACTTCGGATGTCTCTATCTTCATATTGGTTCTTTAAAAAAGGAAATTAAAAATTCTTTAATTCATAAGAATTTTTAGAAAATAAACAACCTGCTCAGATTGAGTTTTCGATGACTTTAGAAAGGAATGAATGGGCCGCAGAAATAAACCTTCTTAAGAAGCATTTAAATAGAAATATTAAGGATTTCAGTCCCTGATAGGACCAAATTTTCTACCCTTAAATGTCCATCAGGTATATAATACTCTGACATTATATCAAAGCATTTTATAGTCAAAAAGGACTGCCCGGAAGAAAGTTTCTTTAAGAATTCATTAACTAAGCAGTACTTAATTAAGAAAGTTTGCATTGGGGAAAAGCGTTTTTTAATTAAATAAAAACTCAACTGATAGAATATCCTTAAATACTGTGGTGGAACTGTTTATGAAAATATTAGAAATAGAATGACAATTCATAACAACTTTTTACCAGACAAGTTTTTTAAATTAATTTTTTGATTAATTTTAAATAAAAGAAAATAACTCTTACCAAAATTTAAGGCCATAATTAGGACACATTCCACCCTTACATGCTAATTGTAATAAATGGGAATGCCCAAATAAATGGATTATTCAACAGTAACACATCTTTAATGTATTCAATTTCACAAACCTACAACATACTCCAAACTCTATATTCTCAGATATTTAACTAATTTCACCATTCAAAGTTGTTGTACATTGACCAATCAATTGTCAGTTACATACAAGTATGTCCATTGCCCACCAACTTGATCTGAACTAGTATGCATATGTGACTGATCGTATAAGAATCATTGTTTGAGGTATTTCTCAAGTAACTTAATTATAAACCCAACTAAAAAGCTCATAAAAGACATGCCTTTGCTTGCTAATTGTCATAGATTACAACCTGTTTTAGAGTACACATCCCTCAATATTCAACAGCCAAAATTTAATGTAGAGTATTTTATATTGTAGTTAAGCACCAAAAGACATAAATTAACAGATTGATGCTGAGTCTGCATCACATAATCCCTTAATTTTTCATAACTAAAAAAAACTCTCAAATGTTTATATTATGCCATTTTTTCTTTTTCATTGGATAGGATGATATCTAAGGTTACATAATTGATAAGGCACATGTTCTTTCATGATTGATCAGATAAGTTTCACAAAGCTGTCTTTTGGACAGGTATACATCCATTTTAGTAATATCAAGTTTTACCAACATTCTTGGCAAAAATTTGAAAAAAAATAGTTTTATACAAAGGATGATGCAGTCTTGAAATAAATGATACATCTCAAGTAAATTTGTATAAAGATAAATACAATTCCTTATAATACAGGCAACTACGAAAGGTGTGTCTGTGTGTCAGCATACAGTGACCTAGATTGAGTTAATGACGCGATTGCAAGGCGTCATGTGATCATGTCATGTGGTGATTTAAAAAAAAAGAATGTTTGCGGTAATTATATTTCCGGAATAAGAAGCGTGATGTATTTGCGCTCATGACAAAAGGGGTTTGTTTTTCTAAAGTAGAGAAAGAAAGATATAAATGGTTGTTACGATGTACTGAGAGTGTTGATGAGCGTTGACTACATTTTTATACCCCCGCTTGAAAAGTGGGAGGGTATATAGTAAGCGTTATGTCCGTCCGTCC